TTACTGTTTATTTTGATCATATTTCACGGTGCAAGTGTTATGACTCTAAGAAAGAAGAAGATTTTTTAATATCATATAAAGTACTTACTAAAATGACACTTAATTAAAATCTGTTGTTATTAAGTGTAATGCTTGTTCTGCATTTCAACAGTACAGTAACTTTACACAGGTATGGATAGAATATTTAAGTGGCTGCTATCTCTGCTATTACGGGCCGTATATCGTTGTTTACTCTAGCCTGACAGCAAAACCTTCTGTTCCTTCTTCTGATAGGATTTTCCTTCAATTCAGTGTATAATAAGAATACTTTCTCATCCATTCGAAACTTTCAAGCATCAATTTCATCAAATTGAAAACRCACTTTCGTGTGGATTCRTTGTGGTAATAGACCTAATCGGCTTCAACCCAACTCAAACCACCCGGGAGAGTAACTTTCATTGTTCTTGTATTTATTTCACAGTTGAATTCTTAGAAACAAAAGTTCTTTTTCCCACAGGATTTGAATTAGGTGGCAACGTACATAGCARCGCCGTTAGCCGATTAGATCTATTGTAGGGTTACACTTCAATGGTACGGTTGCRATCCATGCGCACCAGAACAGAGAAACAGGATGCCCGAGTAACAAGATTATAATTGGTTGATTGCGTTTATTTTCAAAAATAAAATATTAACTTTCAGTAACCAATTCAAACTAACAGTTCTTCCCTGTCTTATTTCAAAGGTATTCAAGGGATTGCATGGCAATAAAAACGCATACATATGTATAGGTATTTCCGGTGTATGCTGTACCGGTATACTTGTTTTCAATCTAAAAGAATCGTATTGCTTGTCACAATAGATTGTATGGAAAGCGRCAATCGAGTTTGGCGTCGGAACAGCAATCAGYAATGTCCGATATGGTTTCATTACTGTTGCTAGATATRGTCCACGTGGTAGCTTTGGTTTGKCTGACGCTTACAAAAAGAATGTGCTRCCTGTCGGTTTTTTGCATACTCTTATTTTCATACAAATCTCTCAGTTCTTACCTATTCCTCGAATTCTCCTTTATTATCTACTAAGTTTTTCTTTTTAACCTTCTATATTATGGTTCTCTAGGACCCTCTTAAAGATTGCAGGTTTTTTGTGTCAATTTATTGATATCTATTAATTTTCTATGGTTAGGAACACCACACCASCTTCTCCAGACCTCCCTGCACCATGCACCTCCTCATTCTCCGAAAAAGCCTGAATCAGATACAAAGAATAAAAGGTTAGGGGTTGACAAATTAAATAAAATTGATATTTGACATATCTGTCTGCTTCTTAATATTACTACTACCATTTCCAGTAACTGTCACTTTTTTTCAAGTAAAAGGGAAACTAGAAAGGAATATACCACTTATCAAAAACTGTACTGCGACATGAAGGACCATTACATAATTTGTTTTAGCATATTTGGTAAATACTTACGGCGTAGCAACTTATTGAATTTCAAAAAATGAGAGAATGTATGTTTTTAGAGACGGTTGTCAAAAGCTCGARTCTTCTTTGCTATTTTTTCCAATTTCAAATGCTTGCAACTCTGTAATTATTCATTCAAATAGCATCAAAGCTCGCTGTAGGTATCAATTTAGTATTCTCTTCTTGTCATGGCATCAGTTTCTTGCCACAAATTGTATCCTGTTTGTGACTAGAAACCAGTTCTTTTTTGAATTGGGGTCTTGGATTATTGCTAYGGAYGGAGTACAAGTTCCTTTATTACCATGACGTTAAGGAAACGTTCTTAACAAAACGATTAAAGARAATTTCAAAAGATATGAGAGAAAAAGACAGTTTGAGCGGTTTAGTCTAAGAAAGATGTCATGATTGTAAAAGGAAATCGCCCAAAATTCAACGTAGCAGGTTCTCCTCAAATATGGTGACTGYAGTAAACACATTGACTGAAATAAACCATTTCAAAAAGCTGTCTACAATTTCATAGAGTTTTGTTTTGTTCTCGTTATTCAAACAGGTCACAGTGTTAAGCGACCTTTAACAGGAAACCAACAATATGAACAATGAGCAACCAGCAATTGTGGAGGCTTGTGATTTATTTATTAATTATTGTCTTAACATATATCTTGGGATAGCGGCAACAAAGAATTATATATAAAATTATCAAAACAGCTRCTTTATTCTCGTTAATATAACCTGCACAGTTGAGTCGGCACATTTAAAAAGGTAAGGCGAGGATTTAATATTAGTATCTACAATGATACTTAATTTCTCAAGTGGTGTCGAGTTTAATACTCGCTCAGCAATTCAAGGAACACTCTAAAATGTCATTTGAGAGTAGTATGATGAGTGGTGTCAAGAATCTTTCGGCAGCAGCCGTGGAATATGTCTGTCATCGACTGATAGTTTCATATTAGTAACTCAAGACAAAAGATCCAATTTTTTCGCACTTAATTATTATTCAGATCGATCTCTTAGTCCCAGAGTGCTTATAATCGTCTCAATCACTCAAAAATGAATACTTTTTTAACATGTTGCTAAAACAATAACACTTGGATCAAAAAGGCGTTTTTGGTCGATTCTACTAGACCTTATATTATGTTATTTTTATGCCTAAACGTCAGGCGGCCTGCATGACGTTTAGTCCAAGAACTAAACGTCAGGCAGTCGATGTTTTTTTGTGGAAAAATCGTCGGAACAACCTCATCTTCAATAAATAGCACAAGAGAAATGGAATAAAGACCGAAATAAGGGGCTTGACAGAAATTAGCAGAGGGGAGGGATGCTTGGAAATTGAAAAGTGGGTACTAGGAATAAAGTGACATACCAGAGTTGGGGAAGTGAAATTTTCTCACCCTACTTATATTAGACGGGCAAAATATCGTGACCCTTCCCCTTCAACCATTACCATTACAATTTATCATTATTGATTCCATTAAATAATGTGTTACAGCAGTTATTATGATTCCCAAACACCACTAGAAATGTTTGCTTGCGGCCATGTTGACTCCACATTAACCATCAACCCCATAAGTGCCCACATGAGACAGGCTTAGAATTTTCTCTAGGAATGCGCTTACCGAGTGAACGAACGAATCTGCTTGTTTAATTTGTCCTTTTGGCAAAACGACGTAAAAAGCCCAGGCATACATTTTGAAGTGTTTTCTTTTCCTGCTGATACCAWGATACTGGGTTTTTACGCTCCAACAGAAACAGAAACAAAAGAAAACACACCCACAAAATAACTTATAATGACAATCTGTTTTCAGGAAGTTCCTACTAATCTTTTCCCATTCAGGATGTATGCTATACTTCTGTTGATTGCGTTTTCTTACAGAGGTGAGTATGAACAAAATAAAACATCATTTTAATTTCAATTTTTCGATTTTTTGAAATGAGTAGAACAGAAATGAAGGAAAGGAATGATTTCTCTTGGGATTCCTGTCATGTCTCCTTCCAAGAATCAGAACTAAAATGATAGTAAAAACGCCTAATTCTTCTAAAAAAAATTTTTAGTCATTGCAAATTTTACAAGGGAAAGGCAACTCATGATCAAATTCAGAAGTTGACCAGAAATTTCATAAATATGATAATACTATTTTCTAGGAAATAATCTCCATACACATATATATTTCAGGTAGTTCTAGCATAGATTGTTATGGTTTAAGCCGATATTTAAGTTTATTTATCTGAATTTTTAACTATGAGATCGCGCCGAAAGAAAATGAGGACCTATTGAGAAAAATGGATGTATTTAGTTCTCTTTTTGCAAGCAATGAAAATACCTTTAGCTAACAAATATTTTTGCTCAGTTTGTAGTGGTCTCGATGGATTTGATTCTAATTGCCTCAAATCACACAACCAATACAGATCCAAACACGGTTCTCCACCATTTGTCTGGTCAGAGTCTCTTGCTGCACAAGCTCAGAAATGGGCTGATCACTTGGCAAAAACAGATACATTTGAACACGATTACGAATCGATAAAAAAATTTCATCAAGGCGAAAATTTAGCGTATTTTACTCCGCCAAGAAGTAAGTGTATGAGTGATAAAGGGGAAGACTGCGTTCAGTGCTCGGAAATGGTAGCAGACTGGTACAACGAAGTTGATAACTATGACTTCGAYTCTACTAAATCCAGCAATGGCAAACCAATACTGCACTTTACACAGGTATTGTATAGATGTATCTAGCTGGATGTGTATACCACAGTAGTATATTATGACATACTTGTAGAAATACAATACACCGGTCCGGATGTGTCTCAGTGAGTACTCGACAATCAAACCAAACTGCTTTTAAGATTGACCGAGTTTGAATAGTTATCTATTTTTTTATGGAAAATATGATTATTTCTTTAATAGAAAGATCAGTTGTAATCAGTATTCCTGTCCATAGGAACAAATTTCATTCATTTTCAAAAATTTAAAAATTCTAGTTGAAATAAAAGCATAATGAACTGAGTATTGCTTGCGATGTGTACCAGAACACCTCTGTTAAGAGTATCTCAGGTAGATAGAAAGACTGAAGCAATGCTTTATCGTAGGTTGTGTGGAAAGAAACCACTGAGCTTGGTGTCGGAACAGCAATYAGTAATGGGCAATTTGGTTTCATTACTGTTGCTAGGTATAGTCCACGTGGTAACTTTGGATACCCTGCCGATTACAGAAAGAATGTGCTTCCTGCAGGTGATATTGCTTTAATATAATGGCTGTCATCTCTTAACTATTCTTTTTTTTCTTTGCGCCTTTTATTTCGAGATCTCTAACCCTATCACCCTCTTATCATGTAAATTTCACAATCTTTGAGCTATTGACTTTCCTATGATCAGGAACACCTCCACCTGCKCTTCCTCCTAAAACACCTGAATCACCTTCTCCAACACGTTATCCATCGACGTCTCCACCACGTTCTTCTTCGACTTCTCAATCTACAAATGCTGCGGGATCGACAAAACCAACACAAGGTACAAATTTTCCAGGTGGTGGGGGAAGGGGGGTATTTGCTGATGATCCTAATATATTTCAATAACAATAACAACGTTTTTCCGGGCGTGAACTTTTAACATTACAAAAATAAATCTATAGAATACAGGACTTTAAGTGAGAATAAGAGGAGGAGAAAATCGTTCCCCCTTTTTTCCTCCCCTGAATCCGCCCCTGTGTACATACAAAGCACAATTCATTGTCTGAGTTTTTTTTAGATGTAGACAGTTGATATCGGTGCTTTCCAAGCAACCTTTTGAGCTAAATTAGTATCTTTTTTGATTTTCATTGCCGTCACTTGGATCGTGTCATCCCAAAGAAAGGCAACTGCAACATATATTGCGAAATATGCGCCGTTCTCAATGACATCCAAGTTATGGATAGTCTGTTACTTTTTTCAAATGATTCATTTTTTATGAAACCTTCAGATCATTTTCTCATACACATAGTTGTCTGATATCTCTTATACCGTGCCACTTGACAGGAACGCTTAACTCTAGGAAGATCTGACGGTTTGATTTCTTTTCTTCGTTGGCTTAAAGGGACATGGTCCACCAGCATCCCTTTCGAGCTTTTCTTTATGTTTGAAAATATAAATACATCGTAATATAAGCAAAAACTTACTCTTTATTGTTCCTTTATCCTATATGAATGGAGATGCTTTAAGATTCGACCGTTAAACCGATGGATGGAAACGGATTGCAAATGGATATTTGAAGTCACCTCATTTTCCATATATGAAAAATCTCAAACACGAACGCATTGCATGCTAGTGGACCATGTCCCTTTAAAAATCTTGTTTGAGAGTATAGCCATAACAGTTATAGGAATCTAATCGCTAATGTTAGTATTTTGATTGATCCAGCAACCACAAAGGAAACAACGAGCTCTAATACAGGCCCCACGTCTCAAGGTAACGTGTGTGTATCATTATTCTCACCACCGAAGAGCATCATTTTATGTTCATCCAAAATTAATCAATAAGATAGATGATTCATCCTGAAACGTAAAAATAACATTTGACGGAAGAGAGAGCCGAGTGGCCAAAGTTGTAAAAAGGTGCCTGAGGGGGAGGGAGGGGGGTACTACCCCCAAACTTGGGTGGAGGTATGCCGCTAGGACCTCAAAACCCTGACACTGTTCCAGAGTGAAATCGTTGAAAACCATACCCTGTTCCAGAGCGAAATGGCTGGAAACGATACCCTGTTCCAGAGTAAAATCCAGCACTAACCTGCGTGCGTGTAGACCGAATTTTTACCACGTGAATTTTTACCCAGCATCAATAATTCCGAGGGGGAGTGAAGGGGATACTACCCCCAAACATGGGTGGGGTATGCCGCTAGGACCTCAAAGCCCTGACACTGTTCCAGAGTGAAATCGTTTGAAAACTATACCCTGTTCCAGAGTAAAATCCAGCCCTAGCCTGCATGTAGACCGAATTTTTACCACGTGAATTTTTACCCAGCATCAATAATTCC